ATATATATATATATAGAAATAGATGTATATATATATAGAAAAACTTCTCTTTTTCTTTTCTATTACAATTTCTAAATTATTTTTCTATTGTAATTTTTAGATTATTATATAATAATTTTTCAACTTTCCATTTCCATTTTCTATATATTATATATATATATATATATATATATATATAGATGGGCTAGAAACGATCTCCACTCAGATGATTCTTCCATTTTTAAAATAAAGCATCAATATATGTACATGCCAACCATAGAAACTAGAAAGGAATACATATATATTAGCGAGGCGCCTAAGTTGAGCAAACATGGTATGGTACAGTAAGGGTAAGGGTAACGTAGAGTGAGTTGACTTCATGTCCAAGTTCCTTTAAGAAAGGAAGTAGTTGATCCAGCTCCAAAAGTATTGAGTAGATCAGAAGAGGATGCATCTGGTTCCGTCAAAAGTTGCAGACCCAACTCGTCTTCAATGTGGTCAGAAGCAGATATGAGCAAGAATTCGCAGCCTTCATAGTTGAGAAAGTCAGGTGGATCAGCGGGGGCGAACTTCACATGCCCCAGCTTTCCTTGCAGGTGGGCAGGGAAGACAGCTTTCCGTTTCTTTGGAAGACCCCACTCGTCTGCTTTTTCCGGGTTCTTTATCTGAATTATGAATGACCCCTCGCGTTCAATATTCAGTGATTCCTGCGGTTCACACTTTTCACCTTCACTCGGAAATTCAAGCTTGTACACCAAATGAGTGTGACTTCTTTTCTCTTTGTGCCTTAAAATACGATACATGCCTTCTCCCACTGCTCTAGCACCACATCTATGTCTTGAACTTTCATGCTCCCCTGCCAGTACCATCCAACACGCAATTAATTAACGAAACAAAATCAGAGCTAATTAATTAATTAGGTAATAAAATGAGCACTTGACAGTTCACCTCACCTCCTGATCCTCGAAGGGCAGTCTTCACATCATCTGCATCTGTGCTAACGATTTCTACAAACCCCCAATAGGGTCGGCTTTTCTCGCTCGGATCAGGCAGTCGTTTCCGTCCCATTACAATAAGCCGAAATAATGACTGCTGTTCAATATTTACTAATTCCTGCATGTCGATCATTATATTTTTGAATCCAATATAACCCATTGAATTGACCTAGCAACGAAAAAAATTCTCACCTGGCTGCCTTTCTTGGCACTGGCACCCTCTTCTACCGCCCTTTCACCAGACTCTGGTTGCATGATAATGTAGAGACGCTGTACATCATCAACATTATGAGCTTCTTCCTTCCTAACCTTAGGCCGGTAGAAGAAAAATATCTCCCCTCTTTCCTGATCCACCGTTACAATTCACATCAGGATTCAAAAAACGGTTCAAATTTCTAAACTAAGATAAAAGATAAAATTACCTCAATTTCAACTTGGGCTTCTGCTCGGCTCTTGTGCTCTTGCCCTTGTCCCATTAATTCTCTTTCTAGAGATAGCTACATGAGAAACAAGTACACAACGATACAAGGTATAAATACTACAATATAAACGGTAACAAGACACGTCACACAAACCCGAAACTTCCCCTTTGCGTCTAGGCAGACACGTAGCAAACCATTACGCAGTTTGCCCATTATCGAAGAGCAATCACAATAGAGTCTCGAATAGTCGATTATCAAATATCTATGTTTTTGTTTCTTGCTTACGCTACTATTTAGCTTTCTAGACATTCTTCTTGTATAAAGGATCATCAATATATATGAAGAATGTAGCTAAGGTCATAGGAAATAATTTAATCAACATGCAAATTCCTTTATCGATGATGTAAAATAAAGTTGTTGCCGATCGTTAGGGCGAGTAAAATATAATTTCAGCACGGAAGTGAAGAGTTTTCAACTTTTGAATTACTCATATAAGAAAATAATATATATTATTATATTTGGTTACATATTTAAAATTATGTAATTTCAATTAGTTAATATGGAATATAATGCTTACATGTACGGTGGAAACAAAACCTAAGGAAGTATGTATGAGTCTGTCTCTTCGTTAGAGCGGTTTAAATGAGTTAATTTAATCTACTTATCTTCACTAACAACACCAAAAATAATTTTTTATGGTAATTTTTATGTTATTTAGCGACCATACAAATAACTATTAATATATTTACCGACAATTAGATTATGGCCGTTATATTTGGGGTCAATAAAATTATTAGTGACATTTAAAATGAGTGCTGGTAAAGACCTTCTAAATGGCTGGAAAAAATAAATTTTTTAATGATAATTCTAGTGACAATTTTAATGGCCACTAAAAGTAATTAATTTCATTGAATAATAGATTCTCATATATGTAAAAAAATTGTATAGAAATACAATTGAATTTCATTAGATAAAATAATTTATTTTGATAGCGTATTGATACTCAATTAGTTAAATTCAATTAAATAAAGTTATTTTTAGTCCATGCATTGAAATTGATGAGGGAATCAAATTCAATTTTTCATCAATTGATTTTTATTTTATTTTATAAAAAAACTACTTTCTTTACTAATATTCTCATCCACAATTTCTCATAAAAACGAGAATAATAAATTTTTTATATGAGTACTCCATATTTGCAATAACACCAAATACCCATTTATTAGAGTAATGCAAAATTTATGAGTTTATCATGTCCTTGAGATACCAATGAAACCATTGAAAAGACTAAATGAATAGTCAATGATGTCATGATCCAAAGAAATTACATAATTTCATTTCTAAGATAATCATATCCCAAAAAAAGCAAGGTCTCTAATGATTTAGAACTATTTGCTAAAATGTCTAAAAGGTCTTCATCAATTGCAATTGAATCCTGCAAAGCACAAAATAAACAAATGTCCTCCTTCAATGCAGGTTCATCAATTTCCTGTTAACAATATAACATTTAATGTACTATCAAATCAAATGCAGTATTACAACAAAGGAATATCCTGTGCATAAGAAATGGATTAGGCTCAATACCACGTTATACTTTGTTGAATTCTTATTTAAAGAAAGGTACAAACATTCAACCAATAAAAATACATATAGCTCTGTTACGTTCATTGCCTAATGTTCATTATGGTGATTAAATTATGGATCAGTATCATAAAGTATAAGCGGGACAAGAGTGATTCTAGACATGTGGTTCGGTTCGGTTTGGCACGTCATGATAAAATGGAATAAACCTTTTTGAGGTTGGAATATTACCAAAGAAAAAATATATAGTATTTTTTAACATACTTTCTTATTTTAAAACAGAAGTCAAATCTCAATTTCTTTTGGTACCATTTATGAACTTAATAGAACAAGAAAAGATATATTACAGTAGAATGAAATTAAATACGCTAAATAAAACTTATCATTCTATTGTTTCAATAATTTTATCATAAAATAAAACAAACTAATTCTAACACGCACATCTTAAATTTAAAGGAAAAACTGTGAAATGAAATTAAATAATACAATGTCTAATAAATAATCACCATTCATGGATAAATTGGCAATTGCCTTTGCTGCTAGTATGCGAACAACTTCATCATTATCTTTTCTAGTAAGCTTGAGCAAGGAAGTGAGGTCATCAGCTTGAACCATATTGATTTTGTTAACCTCTACATATTATAATAAATCAAATTAATATACAAAAAAAATTAAATACTCTAAAGAGAAGCAACGAGGTTTTTTAAAACCTGTTTCCACTATAACAATTGGAATTTTAGTTGATTGTGATTCTACAAATCCAAACAAAAAGGTTGAGAGATTACAAAAGTAACTTAAACCTCTTTAAGAAAAAATAGCATGTGTAAAACAAGAAGACATGGGTCAAACTTGTTTTCACAGTTAGTAGATTTTGTAGGTAATTGTGATTCTACAAATCCAAAAAGACAAATATGTAAGCTATAGAATAGAAAAAAATTCAACCAGCATATCAAATGTCACATAGACGGGCAATAAGGGTTTATTTGGGAAACAAAAATGTGGATGGATATATCATCTAGATAAAGACCTAGCCTCTTCTGAAAAAGGTAAAAAGTAAAAAAAAATTCCGTTTCTTTTATAATACTCTGCAAATAAAATAATTTAGACAAGATTCTTGTAGTGACTGATCTCAATTTATTTTGTAGATTAGTCCGATTTATTATCTTCTCAAATGTTAATTTTTTTCAACTTGATCCGACCCATCACATGTTGGTGGACTAAATGGATTGATCCATTGATCTATCAATTTTTCTTTTAGAAAAAACTTCAATCTAAAATGACCTCCATTCTAAAATAAAAAATGTTAAATTAAGCATAATGCATATAACATTAAATTTAACTAAAAAATATATGATTTTAAATAATCAAAATAAAAATATAAAAAAGTATTGTTATTGGAGTGATTGTCCATTGATATTAAGTTTTATTGGAGACTTGAATGGATAAATCTATAGCAAATTCATATTGTTTATAACAACAATTTTATCTTCATTTATAAAAAAAAAGGCTGAAAACCTATTTTGGTCCCTTATAATAATTGTTTGTTTTAATTTAGTCCTACTTTTATTTTTAGTCTCAATTTGGTCCCTAATAAATTAATTGGTTGCAATGTCGGACTTCCGTCCAAATTATTTAGACGGAGTTAACTGTTGGCCACGTGGAAGCTATGTAGATGCCACATGGATGTCAAATTTTGTCATGCATATGGAACCAGAACGGCCCGTTCTAAAACTGGAACGGCCCGTTCCGGTTGCACTCATGGTGTGTAAATTTTGCATCTAGAACGATCCGTTCCAGATGCATTATTTAACACCAACGCGTGCAGCAGAACTGGCCGTTCTGAAATCAGAACGGGCCATTTTGGCTTCCATAATTAGCCGTTCTGGATTCAGAACGGGCCGTTCCAGAACGCCAACCAACATAGTGTACCAGTATGGTTCAAAAACCAAAAACAAACCATTTATACATACATAATTTTTTTATCTAAAAAATAATATATTTTAAAAAAAATTATATTCTAATATATTTTAAATTATCGTATGTATAAAATATAAATTTCGAGGAGTTATTCATTTATCTGATATTTGTCAAACTTTTGTACTTTCTATTTATTGTTTATGTTGATAAAAAAAATTAAAATTGTAAAAATTTATATCACATATTAAAAACATCTTTATATGATAAATAAATTAAACTTAATTTTTATAAGATTTAACATATTTATTTATATGTTTTTATTAGTGTTAAATTATTATTAAGTAGGTTTTTAAGATTGTTATGTAACCAAACATTTTAAAAAATGTCTATGACAGATAAATATATAATATTTATAACATGTATTTTTAACAAAAATTAGGTTTAAATCTGTTAAATTATAATATAACATAATCTGACCTAGTTTATTTTCACCCTTAATCATAATTTTATATATAAAAACTTGTAAAAAATAATTATAATATATATTTATACTTTTAAAAATTATATATAAAATTTTTAATATTACAAATATATGAATAAGTATTGTCCTTATGATCTAAAATTTCTGGATATAATCATGAACTATATGTGTGGCATTCTGGAACCAGAACGGCCCGTTCTGGTTTCATTCTTGATGTGTTAATTTTACATCTGGAACGGGCCATTCCAGATGTAAAATTAACACATCAAGAGTGAAACCAGAACGGACCGTTTCGGTTTCAAAACGGGCCGTTCTGGTTCCAGATGCATGACAGAAATTTTACATCCACATGACATCTACGTAGCTTCCACGTGACATCTACGTGATTCACTGGGACCATCTTTATAATCTTTTCTATCTTTACCAAAAATATTTGCTGCAATGCATTAATAAAGAAAAGTAAAAAATGATAAGATGCGATTGCAGAACAAAACTGTGGTACTTTTAGTCTGGGTTTAGAATTTGTAAGATTTACATTCTCTAAGATATTTACATAATATAATACAAAAATTTCGGTGCCCGCTCTACCTATGTTTGTACCCCACACATCCTAGAACAAAAATAAGTTGTTGAATGTGTACATTATCTAATTGTTGGGAATTGAGATGGCCCCTGCAGCATGCATGGAAGTCTCGAGTATATACAATATATTTAAGGTTTTCCTTCTGTGGGTGTTGACGGAGAAGACGAGCTTTCAGAATTTACAAGCAGCGGGTCGCTCATGACATCCTGCATCAAGATGATGGAGTGTAAATGTAATTGATTTGAGAGAAATAAACGTTATGTTACGTTACGTACCGGTTGCACGGAAGCCTCACTAGTGTGGCTGGGTATGCATCCAAAAAAGGTTTACGTACCGGTTGCACGGAAGCCTCACTAGTGTGGCTGGGGATGCATCCAAAAAAGGGGGGAATCGTCATCTTTTCTTCGGCAAAGTCTCTCAATTTGTCCAGCTCTGGCATCACTACTTTGGCAAGGTCTGGCCTATCTTTTCGCCTGAGTTCCGCACACTTGACTGCTATATTTGCAAGGCACAAAGCTTGTTCAAGAGGCCAGTCGGTGACACATGGGTCCAGCATTTCCGCAAACGTGTCATTCTCCATAGACTTTTCAGCGTGGTGAGCCAATCCCATTGGAGGCCTGCCTGTCAATAACTGAAGAAAAATGACCCCTAGAGAATAAACATCCGACTTCACACCCAGCATTCCTGTTTGCTGATACTCCGGATCGATATAACAAAATGTTCCTGCTGCGGATGTCATGCGGTATTGTGTTACATTTTCTGCTACAGCCGGGACTAGCCTTGCCAATCCAACATCGCTTATCTTACTCACATAATTCTGGTCTAGCAAAATGTTCCCCGGTTTAAGATCACGGTGCACTAAAGGTTCAGGCTTCGTTTGATGCAGGAATAGTAAGCCCGTCGCTATCTCTGCAGCAATTCGGAACCTCAGCTGCCAAGACAGAACACCCTTCTTTTTTCGAAACAGACAATCTTCTAAGCTTCCATTCGCCATATATTCATAAATCAATATGCCATACTCCGGACACGCTCCTAGAAGAAGCACCATGTTTGGGTGTCGCATGCAGCTCAGTATGTCAATCTGCATATATAGGATTATAAATATCACTCCAACACATATTTGCATGGTTAGTTATTGCTATTGCTATTGGTATGCCATACTAGAGAATGCACATGAGGCTTTTATTTATTCATTCTTTCAGGTTTACCCTTGAGATCCAAAATTGCCCTTCTCTCTCTCCTCTCTACATGTGTAATGTGTGTCTTTAGAAACGTAGAGATTTCATGGTCTCATTCATTCCCATAATAGACAAGCCTAAACTAGGCATTGAACATGTGATGCAGTCAAATATAAAAGTGGTTTAGAATTACTCATGTCCACTGGTTGATCACCTCTTGCTGAAACTGTGATTTCCCTTGAGCAGCATCTGGACGTAGAACCTTGACGGCAACTGGAGTGTGATCAAGATAACATTTATAAACAGGGCCATAACCTCCTTCCCCAATTCTCTGAGATTCAGAAAAGGAGCTCGTGGCTGCTTCAATCTCCTCTATACCGTATCTCCTATATCTTACATCAGTTTGGGCTAGATTGTCCAATAGCTTCCTCATTTCCTCTGCTTCTTTAAGAGCTTTAACTTCAGCACTCGCTCTTCTATGTGATTCCACCTCTGCAATTTTCTTAGATGCTTCAGCAGTTTCCACAGCTGCTCTACATCTTGCTTTCTCTTTCTCTGCAATTGCCAGCGCAGCTTCCTCAGCCAATCGTGCCTCTTCTAATTTCTTTTCTTCCTCAATTCTCCAGCTGGTCAACTCCATTAACTGTAGCAAACAAAATAGTATTGCAGTTGAAACCGTAATTACACATTTACAGAAAAGGGTACTATGTTTCAGAACCTACCTTTTGCTGTGCTGTAAGTGCTTCTCTGCATGCTGTACTATACATTTCCATCGTTTGCTTTAACTCAAGCTTCAGCCTCCTCATATCAGCTTCTGCTTCATCCTAAATTATTTTAGCAAAAGGAAGTGGATACATTTAATGGTCACGTATCGTTGGTTCTACTTGGACTCAGAAACATCATTAAATGATTTTTTATTTTTTATTTTTTGAAAACATGCTTAATAGGTGCTAGAAAAGCTAGAAATTTTAAAAGGTAATAGAATAACCGCGGGTATCCACTGCTAGCTAGCTAGCCATCGAATGGATCCTCTGATTAATTGAAAGACGTTCAAAGAAATGGAGTGATGTAGCTAACTAAGTATATTTAGTTGTGGTAAGATAACATTGATATATAATCAATTGAAGTCGTGTATAAATATATCAAAAACAATTGTGCTGACTTACCATGCTCTGTGATGAAAATGAAAATGATGTTCTACTGCTATCAAGTGAGAATGACGCATCTGGTGAAGTGGGGTCATTGAACTTGAGTCCCAATCGGGTTGATTCAAAGCTATGATCTGAACTGGTAGAAACTCGTGAAGTTCGGCCTGCGTCAATATACTCATAAACGGAGGATGAACGTCCACTGCTTGGCCTGTCGGAGCTTACAAATGATATATCAGTATCTGATTCTGCGAAGTCCATGCATGATATTCCACTCACGCCTCTTCCTCTTTCAAATGGAGACCTGCTTCAACCAAGGAAACCATGTCATTCTGGGCTTGGCAAAAAGAATTTGATATTGTATTTGGTAAGTCTAATAAAAAATTTAAGCCCTTCACCAGCTCTCGTGGCTGAAACTGAAAAGGTAATAGTTTATAAAATTTGCTTCGAGTAGTTTCATGTATATAAAAGACTTACTTAATAGATTCGTCCTGCCAGCTGTGAGGTTTGATTGATGTCCTTTCTGTAGCATACATGTGATGTGATTAAAACTTGAAGCATTAGCATAGATGCCGAACAAAAACAAACTGTTTGATATCACAGAAACGAACCTCTCAAATTCATAGGTTTGGAGGATATCTCGGGCTGATTTCCGTCCTGGTTATTTAGTTCACGTATATGGCTCAGAAGTGGGGATATATGCGCGGCTGGACGAGTAGCATTCCGAACCGAGGAGATTTTGCCCTTTGAAATGACAAACACGGTACAGAAATCCGGCGCCCCCTTTGATATGCTACTTGATGTACTTGATGATTTAAACCTGCACAACAAAAGAATGACTTATTTCCAACGATGCATACCGAGACACATACTTAAGAAATAAAGTAATTTATCATTATAAAGTGAATCATCAATTTATTTGGATTCATATTGACTTCAATAAAAAAAATCTAAAATTTTAATTGTATGGGTGATTATTGATATATGAGATCAACCTTTCAGAAAAATTGTATGTGTGTGCGTGTGTTGTGCTCTTTTTGTAAATCAAAGAGAAGAAGAATTTTGTGAGAAGTGAAGCAATTAACTTGTTTGGTACCATTTTTTACGTGTATTTTGGTTCTTTTTATTGTTTGGTTAGATACTCATTTGAATTTTTTTTATTGTTATTCACAATATTGGTGAAGAACTATTTTTTTTGTAATCCCTAACGGTTCCAAAACGTCTTTAGTGCACCCATTGATTATTATTAGTAGAGTTTTTATTGGATTAGGTCACGTGGGTTTTTACCTCACATTGAAGGTTTTCCCACATTAAAATTTGTTGCTTGTTGGTTCTTATTTTGTGTATCGTACTAAAATTATTATTTATACAAGGACAAAAGATATTCAGTTTTGTTTCTGATTAATTGTTGTTATTTGTTATCTTTTCCAACAATTGGTATCAAAGCTCTAGTTGGAGGCTCTGGTTTCTTTTCTAATGATGGGTGAAAGCGATGTTACTGGTACAATGATTAAATTGGATTCAACCAATTACTCTATTTGGAAGTCTTAAATGAAAGATTTTTTTTATTTTGTAGAGACATGTATGATCCCATTAAGGCTAATGGCACCAAACTAGTAGATAAATCTGAAAAAGATTGGAAGAAGGTCAATAGGAAGACTATTGGCATGATCAAACAGTGGATAGATCAAAACATTTATCATCATGTGTCAAGTGAGACTAATGCTTTCAACTTATGGAAGAAATTGAGTGAGCTATTTGAGTTTAAAAATGCACAAAACAAGGCATTCCTCATTCGGAAGTTGGTATAAACTTAAAATACAAGGATGGTTCTTCAATGGCACAGTACTTAGACAATTTTTAGAATTTGGTGAATCAGTTGAATACTATGGAAATTGTATTAGATGAGCTATTGACATTGTTGTTGCTTAGCTCATTAACAGACAGTTAGGAGACATTGGTGGTATCTCTAAGTAACTCTACTCCTAATGGGAAGCTGACTTTTAATATGGTCAAAGATAGTCTCCTGAATGAAGAAACTTAAAGAAAGGGATAAGGAATGACTGGTTCTTCAACTCATAATGAAGCTTTGGTGTTGGAATAAGGGGAAGAAGCCATCAAAGAAATTCTCATAGATATGATGACCATAGGAAGTTAAGAGGAAGGTCAAGGACAAGGAAAGATATTAAATGTTTCCATTGCAATAAAACAAGACACGCAATGAAAGAGTACAAATGCCTTAAGCAAGATAAATCAAGGGGTAAAGGCAAAGACGACAAAAGAGAAGATAATGACAAAGACATTATTATAGTTGTATCTGATAGTGAAGTTAACATTGTTTATGATGATAATTATATTAATCTCGTATGTCACGACTATGAATGAGTTATTGATTTTGTTGCCTCATTTCATGTTACACCACAAGTAAAGTTTATTCCTTTTAAACCAACTATAATGCCTCAATTGAGAAGATCTATTAGAGAGTCTTGTCCTTCACAAAAATATTCCCCTCATGAGTATGTGTTGTTGATTGATGAGGGAGAACAAAAAAGCTACGAAGAAGCTATGTCACATGAAGAGAAGGATAAATGGTATATAGCCATGCAAAAAGAGATGAAATCGTTACATGAAAACCATACATTTGAGTTGGTGAAGTTGCCCTAAGGCAAGAAAACACTAAAAAATAAATTGGTGTTCAAGTTGAAATCAGAGGATAATTGCTCACTACGAAGGTACAAGGCAATGTTGGTTGTGAAAGGTTTTAGTTAAAAGAAAGGAGTTGATTTTGAATAAATATTTTCACTTGTGATCAAGATGTCTTCAATTAGAATTGTGCTTGGCCTAACAACTAATTTAAACTTGGAGGTTGAACTTGATGTGAAGACACTTTCCTCCATGGTGACTTAGAGGAAGAAATTTATATGGAGTAACCTAAAGGTTTTGCAGTTAAAGGAAAAAAGAAGCTTGTTTGCAAATTGAAGAAGAGCTTACATGAGCTCAAACAAGCTCCAAGGAAATGGTATAAGAAATTTGATTCTTTCATTATGAATCATGTGTATGACAAAACCTCTTCTAATCATTGTGTGTTGGTGAAGAAATTTTTGGATAGTAAATTTATTATTCTCTTGCTTTATGTGGATGACATGTTGATTGTTGATCATGACATGAGAGAAATTGAAAATCTAAAAAGAGAGTTGAACAAGTCTTTTGCAATGAAGGATTTTGGTCCTGCAAGGAAAATTCTTGGCATAAAGATTATCCGTGATGGGAAGAATGGCAAATTGTGGTTATCACAACAAAAGTACATTGAGAAGTTATTAGAGAGATTTAGTATGGACAATTCCAAGTCTGTTAGTACTCCACTTGCAATTTAAGTTAAACTCTAAGCAATGTCCTACAAGTGAGAAAGATAAAAAAATACAAAAGATTCTGTATGCATCTACTGTTGGTAGCTTGAAGTGGATACTTAGGTATCTCAAAGGTACTTTTAAAGTCTATTTATGTTTTGGAAGTGGTGAGTTTGTGTTGAATGATTACACAAATGCAGACATGGCTAGTGATGTAGATTTCAAGAAATCTACTTCTGGTTATATAATGACTTTTGCAGAGGAAGCAATCTCATGGCAATCCAGATTGTATAAATGTGTTGTTCTATCTTCTACAGAGACATAATATATTGTTATAATAGAAGCTGTCAAGGAGTTCTTGTGGATGCAAAAATTTCTACACGAGTTGGGATTTTCACAAGAAAAACATGTTTTGTATTGTGATAGTCAAAGTGCAATCAATCTTAGTAAGAACTCAACTTTTCATTCAAGGTCGAAACATATTAAGGTTCGGTATCATTGGATACATAATGCATAGGAGATGAAACAATTATCATTAGAGAAAATATATATTGAAGAAAATGGCTCAAATTTGATGACAAAGACCTTGCCTACAGGAAAGTTTGCAATTTGCAAAAAGAAAGTGGACGGGTTTGATTGACTATGACACCAATTAATTGGTGAGAGGGAGGTTTGTCAAGTGGGTCACCAATTTATTTGGACTCATGTTGACTTTAATAAAAAAAACCTAAAATGTTAATTATATTAGCATAAGATGTAATGACTCTTGGTATGTGAGATCAACATTTTAGAAAAAGGAGAAATTAGAGAGTAGTACGTACGTCTGTCTCTATGTGAAACGGTAAGAAGATAAGAATTTTGTGAGAAAAAGTGGAACAACCAACTTGAAGAAAAAGTGTTTGGTACCAATTTTTGTGTATTAATTTGGTTCTCTCTATTATTTGGTTAAATACCCATTTAAAGATTTTCTTGTATTGTTATCTACCATATTGGTGAATAGCTATTTCTTATGATCTTAGCAGTTCTAGGAGGATTTGTGGTGTATTAAATGATTATTGTTAATAGAGTTTTTACTGAACTAGGTTTTGTGGATTTTTACCTCACATTGATAGTTTTTTCACATTAAAATTTGGTGTTTGTTAACTTCTATTTTTCTATTTTGTACATACTACTAAAATTATTTTGTTGTTTCTAGAGTCTATTATTATTTATTTAGGAAAATAAAAGATTCAGTTTTACTTCCACTAAATTATTGTTATTCGTTATTTCCCAACCATCATCTCACTACACCATGTTTGAATGTGCTACATAGTATAATATAATGGCTTGTGTTGTGTCCTTTTGTTGGCTTCTGTTTTGCAACAGGCATTCACCAAAGGACTCTGTCCGCTAATATCAAAATTATTCTCCTTTTAAAAATAGTTCTGACATTACACCAAAATTAATTTTTTGTGGCAATTAATTTATTATTTAGCGGTCATATAAATGATCATGATTTTTTTTACTAGCATTTAAATAAAGACTGGTGTATTCAGTGTCGCTAATACTATTACTGACATTTATATAAAATGCTGGTAAAGATCTACTAAATTGTCAAAAAAATTTATTTATTTTAGTTGCAATTCTAGTAGTTATTTTAAAGGCTATTAAAAGTTATTTTTTTCAATTGTCTCCTTTACATTAAATAATTTATTCCTATAATTTCCTTTTCTAAATTCATAACGTATATACTTTTTTTTATCTCTCCTCGATGTGAGATTTGTAAGATGAGAGTTGTCTTTTATTTATATATTTTTTAATTGTCTTGTCTCTTAAGAAATGTGAGATTTATAAGGTGAAAGTACTCACTTATATACTATTTAATTATCTTATCTCTAATCGATGTGGGACTTAAGTTTTTTCTAATAAATAATTGTCTCTAATAGTAAATTTTAGTGTAATATAAATACATTTTTAGTGGCTATTATATATTAGCCATTAATATTTTTATATATGGCGGCAATTAAATTATTGCTATTAAATAATTGTTGTTAATAACAAATTTTGTTGTAGTTCGGGGTTCTTGTTAACTTGGAGATACTAAATCTTACCTGATAAACCCATGCCTGGATGTTGCACCGACCACCAAATTCTCAATTGCAGCATAAGAAACATATTCTGTTATCGCTTTCACAACATCAGTGTCTTCAAGTAGGACATCAAGGCATTGTATCTAACAAAATATTTAACCGCAGTAAATAACGTGGGAAAAAAATCGTAAAAGATGTTATTCTACAAATCTGAATAAAAAGATCTGGGGTGAAATAAAGATTTCAAACCTACATCTTTGCGTGTACAGTAGCAATGGAAAGTGAGAAACAGATCCTTGATAGTGTTATCAACTTGGTATCTTTGTGGAGATGCTGATGAATTGTTGATGTTACATATAATGGCCTCGTTACTCCCTGTAGCATTTGCAAACATTTTGTTTTTTATACTATGCAGTTATATTACATGCACCACTTAACCCTAATTTCTGTAAGAATCTTGTATCATGGAGATCAAAATTTATTTTCTAAGTACCATTTTGTGTGGTTTAATTTTTTTTTATTTTTATTAATCCTTATAAAATTAAAACATTTACATTTATTAATTTATTTTTTTTCAATGTATTTGTGAGTTTATAAATTTTAATTTTACAGGAATATAAAATTGTCAATCCAATACTGGATAATTACTGCTGTTCATATGTAGTTTTTAACCATAACATTGCACTAAATAATTTGGTTTTGAACAACATAATTTTAATTACTAACGAAGTACTCTCTCTAAATTATATATAAGCAAAAAAGTAATTTTAAATTTAAATATAAATAAATTTTAACTGACTTATCCTGTTTAATGCTATCATTTAAAAAATACTCCTTATAATAAATGTGATTATTATTTTCAATATATATTATTAAAGATAATTTAGGGAATAAAATTTAGTTTTTATACGAAATTAATAAAATTAAAACAACTTAACTATTTTTTTAATATATGTATATTTAAGTATTTTTACTAATATAATATATATATATATTATCATCAAATTATAATGATGGTTACCAAAATTCAAAACTTCGTTTTTGACACTTCAAACTTTTTATTTTTATTTTGTTAATTTAAAAACAAGAAAAATTAATAATTATCAAATTGATGATATGAGTGGTTTTTTTTATAGAGAAATTAAGTTTCTACGTCTTAAACAAGGTCTCAATTTAAATCCTATAAATAAAAAGAAATTGAAAGGAAACTTCTTCGAAGTGATTAAAAAAAATACTGAAAGTCATTCAAGCTAGCACAGATGAAAGTTAACCAGTTATCCAAATAATGACATCTATTATTTTTTTTTGTTACAACGCGTTTTTTTTAACAACATCTATTATGTTTATATATGTGTTGCTTTTAGGTTTTTAATTTTAATTTAAAGTTCTTCTAAAAAATAAATTTAAGTTAAAGTTTTCTTTTTTATTTAACCTGCATTTAAAAGATTCCATGAAGTGCGTGAGATATTAGAGTTTTTCTATATATATATATATATA